TCCTGGGGTCTGGAGTCATCATACCCTTTAGAGGTTTTTATTAGCTGATCAGAATTTTGGAGAACTATATTGGATGCCTAATATAGATTAGGATTCTACCATGACACATTATCTTGAAATATTCTTTCCTGCTTTGACAAGTCATGGAGAAAAGAATAATAAGAACACTTTCTCTGATGCTTCTCACTAGGCATTTCAAGTTATGTGAAGACTATGATGAGTCATACTGAAGTTCTAGAACATCAGTTTAGGCGAAACAAAATTTTTTTTCTCTTATTGTTCCCTCATATTCTCTGTGTGGTTTCAAATCTTTGTCACCTCTTATTTCGATATGATGTGTACTCAAAAGTTCATAAGTAAGACAATGCAAGAAAGTTCAGAGGTGAAATGATTAAGTTATGAGATCCTTAACCTATATCAGTGTGTTAATCCACTGATAGTAATTAACTGAGTGGTAACTGTAGACAGATGGGGTGTGGCTGGAGAAGGTGGGTCATTGGGGGCATGCCTAGGGTACATAGAGTACATATTTTGTCAGTGGTGAGGACAGTCTCTGCTTTTTGGTGGTTATGTCCTAAGCCACTCGCCTCCACCACACTCTTCTGCCATCATGTTCTGCCTTATCTAGAGCTCAGAGGAATGGAGTCGGCCATCTATGGACTAAGACCTCTGAAACTGTGAATCCCTAGTATACTTTTCCTCCTCTAAAAATTTTCTTGGTTACAGCAATGAAAAACCCAAAACATCACCCAACCCAGAAAACAGGGACCTATCTAGTTAAATCGGGGCAAAATAGTCTGTCTTTCCCTATGGCACCTGGAAATCATATGAGAACTTACCAGTGCACTCAGGTATGGATTATAGTTTCTTTTGGAAGTTGAGATGTTAATCGTAATACTGTGTTATTTTTCCCTGCAGTATTGTGATTTAAGCTATTAGAAAATTTGATATCAGTTGGAGTTTCAATGATGATCATATGTGGAGATAAATTTCTCTGCATTCAGGACTGCATTTGATGGATCAAGACTTGTTATACTTCCTTTACAACAATAAGGATGATATATCTGTAGTGGGAGCTCTCCTTCTTGTATCAATTATGTCGCAGTTCAGAAACTCCTTCACATTTCTTTAGACTATAGCAACATGTTAGTGTTTTGTGTTTTTTTTTTTTAAGCTTTAAATGTAGGCCACAAAGTCAGATTGATACTGTGTGTGTGTGTGTGTGTGTGTGTGTGTGTGTGTGTGGACATTGGTGCAGGCATGCCATCTATGTTTGTATACTTGCTTTTATTCTCTGCTTTGAGTTCTCCTTTCAGGGTACTATATTTGAAGATACCTGACAACTTCATCCATAGTTGTCAAAGAAACCAGTCTTCAACTTGTACAAAAGATTCTTTCATTTTGTCTATTTGTTCACAGTATTTGGAAGGTTAAACATGTCTGTTGAAAACCTTAACATTCTCATCTATTAAAAACATATTATACCAAATATTGTTAGTTTCTAAGTAAGTATCTTTTTATATGCAACCTTGAAATTTTTTTCTTATACCTTCAGGAGAATTTCTCCCTCTTGAAATATGAATTCCTAAAGGCCATTTGGTATTTACATAGACAATTGCTTAGAAGATTTCTATCCTACATTAGAAGGCAATGTCTTCTAGAATTTAAAGTAGCTTGCCAAGTTTGGATACTTCATAAGTGACTTTCTGTCTCAAGCTTGCATTACAGTTAATACATTAATACATACATAAATAGTACAGTGGGTCTTTGACACTGGTAAGGTAAGACATCAAACTTATTGACCTGTGGAGTCAAGTGAAAACTGCTTGGATTAGATATGCATGGTTGTGGATTTGGTTTTAGATAGGAAAACTTATGTGCTTATTCCTCATTAATAAAGTTCTAAAATGACAAACTTGTCCTTAAATTTTGAAATCATTAATAAAATATTTCTGCACGATGATCAAAGCTTAAATGGAGATTCAAATAAAGAATCCAAACCACAAAATTGGTATTTAAAGGTCATCTTGTGCATTTCTGTTCACTTATTACTCATACAGTGTCTGTATCCAAAAAGAAATT